TGCCTTCCCTGGGCCTCAGTCGAGGAAGGCGCCTCTGCGAATCGCGGCCCTTCCTCTGACTTTTCACGCACGCACAGAGTCGCCTCCCCTTTTGTTCTTAGCACCCCCCACCCCTCAATTAGTGGGGAGCTGGGGGGGAGTGCGGTTCGGGTGAAATCTGCCCTCCCGATTCGTCCCGGGCAGAAGTTCTTGCCATTCAGACCAAGCCTTTGCGGCACCACCCAGAGACCTTCCTTTAAAAGCAGAACAAAGCTGTTTAATAGGAAGGTGCGCCCAAGCAGTCCTAACGCTAAAGGTAACCTTCCAGCCGAATGGTACTTTCCACCAGCTATTCCACAAGTTTAATAAGCCATTCTCATCATTTGAGGGAGGATTGCGTGCTGGGGTTTCCATTCGACCTGGCTAGCTTAGGCTGTGTTTCCAACATAGATCAGCACCTACTAATTTATGAAGATTAAGAGTATCAGCAAGAAAGTTAAGGTACATCAGATGTGGGCATCAAAAGGCCCTTTCTCTCCTTGCTTTTGCCTTGATTTAACTAAAGAAGCTTGAATGTCTAATAGCTGAATTTGCAGAAAAGCTGGCATTGGTGAACATGAAATGGGGCAGCGTCTGTGGTTCAGGGAATGATGGGAACCCAGCCACTATGTCAACCACAACTGAAGCCCTCATAAAGTTGTTCTATTTGGGTATCAGGTATTATGTGAAAACAACATCTGTATTGTAGTCTGAGTGTAGAGTTTGTTGACTATCTCTCAATCTATAAAGTGTATAAATGTTCAGTGCTTAATTAAGTTTATTACAGTGATGGGCACACTACCTTACATGTGGCATGTCATTTTTCTTATTGTTTTCTGTCTGCAGGCAAGATGCCTTGTACCTTTTAAGCACTCATCCCCACCCAATATGTAATCATTTAAGTTAGCTCTTTCCTTCTCTTATGTATACCAATGTCATAAAGTGTCCATTAAAGGGACAAAAGTAGCAACTTGGTGAAAAGTTAAGATTGCTTTCCTCTTCCCATTGTTAAGATGAGACATTTTAAGCGCTGCTTAGAAAGAATCACTTTGTTCGAGGCGGCTTTCTTTCAAACTGCATCTAGACAGAACTGAATAAATAAGACGTTTCTTATTTCGTCATCTATTCAAGGTTCAGAAGCTTAATTGTTTATTGATCTGATTATCCTACCATTGAACAACCACATCCATTCCCTGAATTTGATTCTTTATTAGTTTGAGCAACTCCATCACATGAAGCCAGCAAGCAGAGCTGCAGAATAAAATATCTGCTTCCAATTTCTTGGCATGCCAGTGTTCTGAAGCCTTATTTATGGCATAAATGTTACTATTTCTGTTCAGCAGGCTAGAATATACAGTACTGTGCAAAAGTTTAGGCAAGTGTGAAAAAATGCTGTAAAGTAGTAATGCTTTCAAAAACATACATTGCAATTGTTTATGTTTATCAATTTATAAAATGCAAAGTGAGCAAACAAGAAAAACCCAGATCAAATAAATATTTGGTGTGACCACCCTTTGCCTTCAAAACAGCATCAATTCTTCTAGATAAAGTTGCACAGAGTTTTTGAAGGAACTTGGCAGATAGGTTATTCCAGACATCTTGGAGAACTAGTCACAGATCTCCTGAGGATGTAGGCTGCCTCAAATCCTTCTGTCTCTTCATGTAATCCCAGACAGACTCAGTGATGTTGAGATCAGGGCTCTGTGGGGGCCAAACCATCATTTCTGGACTCCTTGTTCTTCTTTACACTGAAGATAGTTCTTAATGACCTTGGCTGTATGTTTGGGGTCATTGTGCTGCTGCAGAATAAATTTGGGGCCAATCACACGCCTCCCTGATGGTATGGCATGAAGTATCTGCCTGTATTTCTCAGCACTGAGGACACCATTGATTCTGACCAAATCTCCAACTCCATTTGCAGAAATGCAGCCCCAAACTTGCAAGGAACCTCCATCATGCTTCACTGTTGCCTGCAGACAT